CATTTTTTAGTAGAATCCCCATGGGGCTGAGATGGAAGAAATGGATTTGGGACAGCACTTATCTCTTAAAGAAATAAATTCTGTTGCCCCATTTTCAAGGGGTGCAAACTAAGCCATGATGATCCTTTAACTTTCTTCATCTCTTCCACAAACTTCATCTTCTATCCCCTTTCCCATGGCACTCCATTCCTTTTATGTCCCACTTAAAATCCCAAGCTTCTATAAACAGGCAGCTAGGAGCAGACCTGTTACTTCTTGAAGCTCATCACCAGAGCTATGTCAAAATACAGCACAAGAGCAGGTGGTTGTTAAGGGTATGTTGTTACAATCTGATTAGTGAACTGACTGTCCCCCTCAAGTTAGGATTAATTCATCAATACAAAGGATGTGCAACCTCCTTATACAATCCCTAGTCAGAGCCCTCAGGACTTGGCAGGAGTTCTTAAGGGGATACTGGCATTGCTATGTAGAGCTGTTATGTTATTGCTTCTCAATCTCTTCTCTCAATAATCAGATTCATTCTTTTCCCCAAGAGCTTTATTCTTTGAAAGATTTCAATCTAAAAGTCATTATATTTAGTAATGTGTTACTAAATAAATCACATTTCTAAAGAAAATATCCTATATAATAAAAGGCTAATATGCAAATTGACCCAATGGCAGAACGACTGGTTGCTATGACATGCACTGACCATCAAGGGGCAGACGCTCAATGCAGGAGCTGCCCCCTGGTGGTCAGTGTGCTCCCACAGGGGGAGTGCCGCTCAGCCAGAAGCCAGGGTCATGGCTGGCAAGTGCAGTGTCGGTGGAGGGAGCCTCTCCCGCCTCCCCGGCAGCACTAGGATGTCCGACTGCTGGTGGGGAGTGGGCCTAAGCTGGCAGTAGGACATCCCCCAAAGGCTCCTGGACTGCGAGAGGGTGCAGGCTAGGCTGAGGCCTGCCCTCCCCTCTCAAGTGCACGATTTTTCTTGCACTGCCTGCCTTCCCCTCTCAAGTGCACGATTTTTCTTGCACTGTCCCTCTAGTCCAGCCATGGGCAAACTATGGCCCGTGGGCCAGACGGAGTTCTTCCAGGAGTCCGACCAAGGAGCGGGCCGGCTGGGGGAAGTGAGGGAGGCCCTGGCCAGTGGCAGTGGTGGCAGGTGGCAGCAGGCAGCCGGGGGAAGGGAGGGAGTACCTAGCTGGCAGCCAGTAGCTGCTAGGAACCCTACCAGTACACGAATTTTGTACATTGGGCCTCTAGTATTAAATATTTATTAGGTATTATATTAATGAGTGCTTTACATACATTGTCTAAAAACTCTCAAGTAGTCTAAAAAAATGGAAATTATTAGTCCCATTTTACAGATGAGTAAACTGAGGTTTGAAGATGTTAAATAAATAGTCTAAGTCTTATTGCTAGAAACTAAATTCTGATTGGCCTCACCTCTTCACCCATATTCTTTCCAATATACTTTCTCTACCATATAGAAAATACAAGGCCAATGAGAACTCCTTCTTAGTAGGAACATACAGCCTTTGCAGGGAGTTAGTGTGGCTTAATATTCCCATCTTCCAGTTGCCCACTCCTCCAAAAATGAAAGAAGTTTTCCATTATTTAGTCAACCTGGTCCAGTTTGTTGTGACTACATATACAGTCTTTTAGGCTTTCTTAAAGTACTGGACATGGTTCAAGTAATTCCATTATCCTATATAATAAAAGCCTAATATGCTAAGTGCCCGGTCGTCCGGTCAGCTGTGCAACTAATCAAAGCTTAATATGCTAATGATATGCTAAGGCAGCTCAACCACTCACTATCATGTGCACTGACCACCAGGGGGCAGATGCTCCAACCAGTAGGTTAGCTTGCTGCTGGGGTCTGGCCAATCAGGACTGAGTGAGACAGGCTGGACATGCCCTGGAGCCTTCCCACGGTTCCTTCCCAGCTGGCCAACCTCCCGCCTCTCTCCCTGACCCCAATCATGCACCGATGGGGTCCCTTAGCCTGGCCTGCACCCTCTTGCAATCCGGGACCCCTTGGGGGATTTCAGAGAGTCAGTTTTGGCTCGATCTGCCATAGGTTATCCTTATAGAACACCAAGAGCCTAGAGAATCCATACAGGAAACTAGAGCTGGCAGTTCAAAACAAATGAAAGTTGGGCAGAGGGAGTTCAGAATGCAGGTTTAGGCACAGATTCCTCCACTGTGTTCATTCTTCCACTCCTTCGATTCTATTGAGTATTCAGTGATGTACCATGGACTGATGTGAGGAGGGGAATCCTTAGGGAGTACAACATTTGATGGGAATAAGAGGAGTCATTGAAGAATGACAGCCTAGGATAAGTGACAATGAAGAGAAGAGAAAAGACAGACTGGTCAGAGTGAGAGACAAACATTTGATGATTTGGGAGGCTCTCAGAGAAGCCAAGCCAGCTTTGTTGTGATTTGATTAAAAAAGAAAAGGGAAAGGATGGCTGACCCCTTCCACTGATTGGTTTTGTAATCTACTGGTGGGGTCTTCACCAAATGAAGTAAACCCCAATGGAAGGTGATGGGGAAGTGTTGCTAGGCCTTCTGGTAGTACTTTCGTTGCAGAAGTTATTTATCAAAGGGACCTGCACAACCTCCCCTACCCAACTGGTAACTTTGAAGCCAGAATCTTTAAAAATTACAGAATAAATTAAGAAAAAGAATATTACTAATTCCAGTAGTAAAATGGAAATTGTTAGCCCAGTATCCTATGGTCAAATTCTGTACTGCTATGCAGAAAATTCACAACTCCCTATCTTTGTGTTAGCTGAAAAACAAAATAATAAAAACAAACAAACAAACACACTCAAAACCATAATAACCCCAAATCCCTCTGGGTATCCAGAAATACTGGGCAACCTTGAGCAGAGCTTAACTGACTTAGATATTTAAATTGCTGTAAAATTAAAGTGTTTACATGGAGATTAAAAATAACTAATTTTCCTTAGAAACCCAAATTCTTAGTTCAAATAATGAGATCTATTAACCTACTTGCTTATATTTTCAATGGATCAGTTCTTTAGTTTATAGTAGCTAAAAGACAAAAGGTAAAGAAAGAGAGCAGATCCATATTTTTCCTCACTCTAAAATTTAAACAACTAAAGGTCTGTCTATTCTGCATTCAAAGAAAATGCCCTTGCCGTAACCGGTTTGGCTCAGTGGATAGAGCGTTGGCCTGCGGACCGAAGGGTCCCAGGTTTGATTCCGGTCAAGGGCATGTACCTTGGTTGCGGGCACATCCCCAGTAGGAGGTGTACAGGAGGCGGCTGGTCGATGTTTCTCTCTCATCGATGTTTCTGACTATGTCTCTCCCTTCCTCTCTGTAAAAAATCAATAAAATATATTTTAAAAAAAAGAAAATTCCCTTCCTAAATATTTTATTCTAGAGTCTAAAGTATTGTTGTTGTTTTTTTTGTGTTTTTTTTTTTTTTGCAGGGGTGGGGGAGTTGAAGGTGGATAGGGAATTATTGTAAAATGCCATAAAAGTTCTTCGTATCTGAATTCCCAAAGTGATTTCACTGTCTTTAGTAAGTGTTAGCAAAGAGATCTACTTATCCGTGGTTAAATTTTGGCTAAAAATGAATTTCAGAGTATTTTCTTTTGTGCCCAGAGAAAAAGTAGTCTCTGCTGCACTTCATATTCCCAAAATTTCTGCCTTGATTGACCACCCTTAGCAATAAATTTGAAGACTTGTGTATCCTATATAATAAAACTCTAATATGCAAATTGACTGAACTGCAGAACGACCGGTGGAATGACCGGTCGCTATGATGCACATTGACCATCAGGGGCAGATGCTCAACTCAGGAGCTGTCCCCAGCCCACAAGCCCCCAGGCCAGCCAAGGCATGTGCCAACAGGGGCCACCTGATCAACCTGCCAGTCACCCTACAGAGGGAGGCGACCTGTTTCAGCGGAGGGGCGATAGGGGAATGGGGCTGGCCGGTGAGCGGGCCAGCACCGCCCCACAATTATCCCACCAGGTGCCTCCCACAGCAGCAGTGTGGGGCGGGGCTGGGGAGCAGGCAGCGGTAGGGAACATCAAACCTCAGAGAGAATGCAGGGGAGGATGGGGTAAGGGGAAACGATCAACCAAAGGACTTGTATACATGCATATAAGCATAACCAATGGACACAAGACATTGGGGGTTAGGGGAGGCCAGGGGAAGGTCAAGGGGGGGGAAAAGAGACATATGTACTACTCTTTGTAATATTTTAAGCAATAATACAAAAAAAGAAATACAGAAGACAAGAACATGTTTAACAACACCATGAAAAAACAATCAGACAAATCCAGAAGGTGGGACATTCTACAGAACAATTGGCCAGAATTGTCAACAAGTCAACGTCATGAAAATAAAATGTATGTGAGTGTGGCGAAAGGAGGCAGTTCCAGATTAGAAATCTTAAGAAATACAACCACCAAATGAAATATGTGGAGCTTATTGAATTAACCATCTTTAAAAGATTGATTGGGGTAACTGGGGAGTTATTCTTAAAGGGCATAGGGTTTATTTGGGATAATTAAAATGTTCTGGAAATAGTGGTGGTGGTTCTATAACATTGTAAAGATGTTTAGTGCCCCTGAATTGGACACTTTGTGGGTTCTATCCCCCGTAGGGGGCGTGCAGGAGGCAGCCCATCAATGTTTCGCTCTCATGTAAATATTTCTCTCCTCTCTTCCTCTCTCTCTTTCTAAAAAAAATAAGTAAATTTTACAATAGGGAATATATGAATATATAGAAAAATTATGTGAATCTTGTTAAATGTGACAACATAATTGTGTTTACCTAACAAAGATGTGTTAATTATTTATGGATGAATTTTGAAGTATTTACAGGTGAAATATATATATATAATTTGCTTTAAATTACTGCAGCAAAAAATAGAAAAAGAAAAAGAATATATGGCAAATTTTTGCAATTGTTTGATCTAGGTGATAGATATTGGATGATCATTATAATATTCTGTTTCTTTTTCTGTATGTACTAGAATTTTGGAAAGGAGAGGGGAACCCTGGACAAATCACCTCTCTGTACAACAACACAAACTTGTGATTGGAGTTCTGAAATAGAAACATGAGCTTCCTTGAAGTGATGCTCTCTGGAAGGCCACACTTCCCAGGGGTAAGAAGACTTGGTGGTCATAGTCATGTGCATATCAAAAAGCCAGTCCTGGCCAGTGGTTCAGTTAGTTGGAGCATCATCCCATTCACCAATAAGTTGAGGGTTTGATTCCTGGTCAGGGCACATGCCTCGGTTGCCAGTTCCATCCCCAATCGGGGCAGGTACAGTAGGCAACCAATTGATGTTTCTTTCTCACATCAGTTTTTCTTTATTTTTTCTCCCCCCCCCCCTCTCTCTCTCTCTCTCTTTCGAAAAATAAAAATCAATAGAACATATCCTTGGGTGAGAATTAAAATAATAAATGAGAGGGAAAAACCAAGATGGTGGCATAGGTAA